ATGGAAGACTTAAGATATTCAGAAACACTGTGTTAATTTAATAGATTAAAATTTCCCGTAACATGAAAAACAGCATTAGTAGCAACCAAGGGTCACATATAGAAATTAGAAAATTTCAAATCTACTTTAAAATACTTTCCTCGCTTTTCCAACTTGGGCCTGGCAGAATAGGTCCCGCAAACAAGGGTGGTGAGAAGGGCTGTTCTGCAATCAAGGTGGTGACCTGAGAATACATTACCCACATTCACAAGCACATCCATGGAGCGGGCTTCAAGCAGCATGTCCCTCAGGCACTCGAGATATGAAGGAGACGGAAATTCCAGATGTGTGCATTGATGCCAGGCTCAACAAAGCTGTCTGGGCCAAAGGAATAATGTCCCATACCATATACGTGTGTGGTTGTCCCAAAAATGTAATGAGGACAAAGATTCACCAAACAAGCTCTGTGCTTAGGTTACATATGTACCTGTTACCACTTTCAAAAATCTACAGTCAATATGGATGAAAACTGCTGATCATCAAATAAAGGTACACAAATGTCCAAAAAAATTCTTAATGAGAAAGAACTGAAAGTGATTTGAGACAAATTAACAAAATTACCAAGTAGTTAAGTAAAAATAAAAATAGCAACTTAGAGGGTGGCTGCCACTTTACAAACTAGCCCAAGGAAAAAGAGACAAATGATAGACAATAAATCACAAACCAGCTACTTAAGTGATCACAAGCCAGCACCAGGCAAATCAAAGACAAATGGGCAGATTCCATACTTAAAAGCATGCCAAGCCCATATGGAAATAAATACCTAACAGAATGGTCTAAAAATCTTCAGAGAAAAATTTTTCTTTTAGATGGTGTCACACTCCGTCACCCAGGCTGGAGTGCAGTGGTGCGATCTCGGCTCACTGCAACCTCTGCCTCCTGGTTCAGGCAATTCTGCCTCAACCTCCCGAGTAGCTGAGACTACAGGCATGCGCCACCACACTCAGCTAATTTTTTTTTTTTTTTTTTTTTTTTAAGAGACAGGGTGGCCGGGCGTGGTGGCTCAAGCCTGTAATCCCAGCACTTTGGGAGGCCAAGGCGGGTGGATCACGAGGTCAAGAGATCGAGACCATCCTGGTCA